GGCTCTGCTGCTGCCACTGATGCCACTCTAGCTTTATTCAGGGAATTTTTGTAGTCCATTCATCCTTTACTACCAGTCAGATGATAGTTGGGTCTCATTAAGGCTGATTTCTACTTTTTCATCCCAAAACCACTATCATTCAAACTCTGCAAAAAACTCAAATGCTTTTTTCTTTTAATATAGTAATACTGAACAGTCTAAAAATGTAAAGAAAAAAAAAAGAAAGGTCTTTTAAATCTCCTAGAAGTTTTGCTACAAAGAAAGGCCTCAAGCCTGACACACGTGTTGTTTGGAGGGAGAGACCCATCCAGAGTTCTTTCTGAAAGCTGGTACTCCGTCCTAATTCACAAAGACCTTTTCTGCAGCCAGTTGCCAGGGAGACTAGAAATACTATTCAGGCTTGGAGGGATCTTTTGTCTCAAGCTCTGAAAAAGCTCTCACTGAGCATTTAAGGCCTTCTTAATTTTCTGTCATTTTAGGGGAGAAAAGGAGATTGTTATGGAAGAAAAAACAAGCATCCACAGGGCCCAATCATTTGCACAACAACAATAACCTCAAAAGAACAGCTCAACAACACCTTATCTCCAAGAAAATAAAACAACTTCGACATAAAAGAAAGTCTCCCTTCAACAAGTATGATAGGCTAGTTAGTATACTCTTTCTTCTAACAAGAGGCTATAGAGGGCACACAGAGTAAGAAAATATTGCAAGGATTCAGGCTTGCTGCCACCAGCAGCAAAAAAAAAAGCCAAAGAAGAGGTGGGCATACTCCGTCCTTTATTTTCTTGTGTAGAAAACATTTAGGACAGAAACACACGTCTTAAAAAAAAAAGAAAGCTATACAAAAACCCCTAGTGTCCTAGATCTTACATAAAACTTAGCAAGCATCTGGTGAAACAGCCAAAATGATTAAGAGGGTTTGTATGTATACATGCATGTCAGTATAATGGCAAAATTTCTACACTTACTTATATTAAAGATCTGATCTTCCCTATCAGCTGCTCACAGAAAAACACAAAAACCACCAAACAAAACCCCCCCAAAAAATCTTAAGAAAGAATAGCTTGCACTGTATAGAAAACTACAGAACTCATAGGCCATACGTTTGAACTGGTCTGCTTACATTCCCGATAGCTACTTTTAAAGTCAGCATTGTGCCTACGTAAACTTAGCTGAAGTGTAGAAAACCATTAGTCTAAATGCACAAGCACTAAACCCATCTTTTTACATTTCAAATTTATAGAAAAAACAATTTTTGAAATATTTCAGATTACTGTCAAATGTCCTTCAGCTGCACTCCCTGTACAGGGAATAGAGTACAGGCATATCTAAACCATCACTTACATAGAATTTGAAAATACATAAAAAACTGGGAAAGTCAGCAGATAACAATCACAAATATTTTGTTGCTTATTCAACAAGCCATTTGTAGAAATTGCACAGTACGAGTCATCCTGTGGTTTACAACTTGAACAAACCACTTAGACTACTCTAGCACAGCTCTCCAAGGCCAAAACAGTAACAAACAGCCATATAAAGTATTTACAAAGTAGAGTTGCTTTCTTACACTGATAAACTTTTCTGCTCACACTAGTACCCACAAGAATCTCTACCAGAAAACTTCAGCCTGTTACTCCTCTGCCATTCTCAAAGACAGGCAGCTCCGAAATACTGCCATTTTCTGAATGAGAACAACTTCAAAGCTTACCCAGACCGCAAGCATCTGCAATATACCTGTTCTTTCATTTTAATTAACCTGAATGCATTATATTTCAGCTAGTAATTAAAACTTACAAGTTGTTTGTTTTTACAAGCCTTTCTAAACAATCTTGTAAGCCAAGTTATCATTAAGGAATTATATTATATTGCATAAGCAGAATAACCAACAGCAGTTCTGAGTTAGATGCCATCAGTGTCAAACTGATTAAGATATTTTATTAAAATTCAAAATATAACAAAAGCATTCTACTTACCATTTTCACTATGTCAGCATAAGCTGATTCAACAATCACTCCACGATTCGTTGAAACATATTCAACCAGTTCATTCAGTGTTGCTCTCTTAATTTCTTTGCTTTTCAGGTCTGAAACAGAGTCCATGAAGTCAAAGAGTACACAACACTGTTGCAACTTCTGACAAAAAAGATCTTGCTGTTCATTGAAGGTGGCATCTATAAAAGGAAAAAAAAACAACCTAGCATTTATGTCTGTAGAAGCAAACTCAGGATTTCTAAACCTATTTTGTTGACTAAAATTTGCATAGCTAAGTTTTTTATTATGGGGACTAGTATGCTCTGTAGTCAGCAAATTAATAAGCAACATTGACAAAATTTAAAATACCTGTTTAAGTATGTTAGAATGAAAAAGCTGCCATTCACAGCTTGTGTTTCATACAAGAAATAATGGATAAACATACAGCAATAAATATATTTATGGAAAACAAGTTCCTGAATTAACTTTATTTGAAATACATGGACATTAACAAGTACCAATTCTCCCTCACCAAAAGTCATATACAGCAGCAGTGCATCATACTAACCTTTCATTCATCCGCTTTGTCTCATTCTGTTCCCTAATCCTTTATTATGTAACCTGCTTAAAAGCTGTAAAATCTGCTTTGAAGAAACCTTGTCTTTTTACCCAATGCAAAATACTTCACATACTTTTGACATCATGTGATGAATGTTTCTCTTAAGAATCAATTCCAATGTTTCAAAAGGATTAATCCTGAATTTTCATGCTTTGGTCTAAATAATTTATTACAATCTTAGTCACGTAAGGTTTTTCAGCTTTTTTGGCCCATTAAGACAACATGTTTGGCTATGACTTGGCATTTTTATTCTAGAGGGCAGTTTCTCTATAAGCTGATAAGCAAAATTCCTCCATTAGTATTTCACATTAGCTCTAAAAAAGATGGATTATTCAGTATGGTACACTTCAGAAATGTTAACACATCCTTAAAATATTGTAACTGTTCGAAAGTTGCATGATCACAACAAAAGCAGCCACGGTTTTAACTGAAAAAATTGGTTTAATGTGCCTTTTGTTCTTGGTTTTAATGGTTTGTTGGGGTTCTAAGCCATTCCAGCAACATAACATCACCTCATCGATCAGTCAGTTGGGATTTTGCTTGTTCTGGTGACAAATTTTTATTCCCAATTTTATCTACAAATAAGGAATGCTCTCCCTCGAAAAATTTTCAACGTCTGTCTATAGACAGACTGCTAATCCCTTGGCTTCATTTATTCACTGCAGTATTGATATTAGCACTGTTGTTTCACCATAAAGAAATTATCAAGACAAGAAAAAGGCAACTGCCTTGTAACACTGAATATTGAAAGTCTTAAGTCTCACTTTAAAATTTGAACAAATCACAGAAAGATCTCATGCTTCTCTTTATTGCTTTAGGCTTATTCTAATTAAACTTCATTTTAAGTTTGTAAGTTTATCAACTCAAAACACTCTTTGATAATGCCAGTTCCTCAAGTTTCTTACCAAAACACCTTCCATTTAGTGGCTGGAACAACAGTCAACAGCAGTTTTAATATTCAGTAATTATCTGATACAATTCTTTCATTTCCATAAGCAAAAAGTAATTGCTAAAATGGACTGAAACGCCTCCACTGTAATCCCAACTGCTTGCTCTGCCCTGAAAGTTCAAACACCAGAATATTGTATTGTATTCCCTTTTCCCATCTGACAGTTATGATCCTATTAACTGAGCATAACAACTTCAGTGAGCTTTTGAAAAAGCTAGCAATTACTACTCCCTCATAAAGAACAATTAATACTTTTGAATGTTAATTCTGCAATTTTAACCATTTTTCTTTTGAATAAAAATCTTGAAGACGCTTATTTCGCTCAGATAACTACAAAGACATGAATTGTTACACTGTGCAAAATAATGAACATCAGCTGTAAAAACATTTGTAAGTTACATAACATTTCAGCTCAGATCTTCTAATATTCTACAGCAGATTGCATGGGTAAGTATTGTATCATAGCAACAAAGCAATAACAGTGACACACTGAGGATAAAATCCAAAAAGCCTAATTTAAGGAACCGACACAGGGAGGACAGCTTTTTGTGACACTAGCCCCAAGCTGATAGCCAGACTCAAACAGGAGTCAAACCTACTCCTATTTTTCCTCACTACAAACTTAACTATGCTCCAAGCTACAAAAGCCCAGCAGTAGGGCACAGCTAATATAGTGTATTTAGTTGATATTCAATAAAATGAAGTATTATTAACCAAATTTACCTAGAAGTTTCAAAAACCAGCAGACAGCATCTGAATACTCCTAACAGTGGTTAAAACAGGCTAAAGACCTAAGGTTAAAAGTAACAGGAGTTCAGACAAAATAATCAAATCACTTATTACCTTCCTTAGAACATCAAAGAAATCCCTGCATTAGCCACTTTTAGTTAGACATTAGAGTAACAGAGATTGTATCTCTCCCGCCACGAATCACCAGTCCATTTCATTAGCAATCTGATCTATCTCAATTAGACATGTTTTCTCAAATGAAAAACCTGCCCATTAATCCATTTTGTTACTCGTATCATTCAAAGCAAAACCAAAGGAAGTATTTTCTTCTATACGTACATCCATTTTCCACACTTACATGGGGAAACGTAAAATAAAGACGTCTGTAAGAGATGAAAGTTATGTGCAACCACTGTCATAAATAAGGTAACAGGAAAGCCAGTTCTGTTGTATCAGCACTACCTGTCTTCATGTGCTCAGCCCCTGCTTGACATATAGCACATTTGCCCTGGGAATGTTATGAATGTTATGTCAGATAGCATTCTTAACTTCCTAAAGCCTTGTCTTTAACTATCTTTATCCCAGCACAACAGAAGCCAGACAACTCTATACCATGATAAAATCATATTGCCGTGGTTTATTCCAGTTCTACAAGTAAAATGAACTGTGCCACAATTAATTGCATCAACATCAGAGCTTTTAGCTTTAGTAGTTGAACAACCTGTAGCATGATTTTTAAAACAGTTTTAATTTAACATCTACCAAGATTTACACCATATATCTGAAGTTCAAGATTTTCTTCAAATACCCTAAATACCATAAGGATCACAGAAGATAACGTAGGCTCAAAGTAGACTAGTGGATACTTCAATAAAATAACCACGTTGACAGTCTGTATTTGGAAGCAGGGAGGGGGAGGAATAAAATTAAGCCCAAAGTCTATTACCAACCAGCCTGTCCCTGAATTGCCACAAGTTGTTGGAAGAGATGCTTCAGGGAGGAAAAAAAAAAAGAGGAAAGGAAACAAAACAAAACATGACGAAGCCTGAAGCAGAAAAAGGAGCAAAGACATTTAATCCTACCTGGAAGAGGGTCAAGATACACACATTAAGCCACCCCTCCAAAAATGGTCTACACACCATCTGATCCAGGTGATCAAAATGCAATTGCCTCAACTTTATTTTCTAGAGGCTGCTGGAGAGAAGTGATTTAGGAAATTCTTTAAATCCATTGTTACATTCTTTGAAAGGTTGGTTTTAAGCTAATCTGAGGTCCTTGGAAGGTAGTAACAAGATTTTAGGCAACCACAGAAAGCAGATTCTTAATCAGACATGATGGAAGGAAATCCTAAAGACAAAAATTTCCATCCAACATGAAACGAGTTATTGTAACTTAGGATGCACGTTAACCATGACTCTTTCTAAGGTTATTCATTGCCTCTGGTTATTTCCACAATAGATGGCAAAATGTTTGTAACTGATGAAAATAGTTCATTTGATCCTTGCACTTCATAACACTGAAATTCTCAAACTATTTCTACTATTTACAAAAACCTGATCACTACAGACAGCAGCCACAATATCAAAGGATAAAAAAATTACAAAACAAATTGACTTGGAAGTTCTTCCTGAACAGAAGTTATTAAACATTAAAACTGCAAGTTATACAGATTTTTCTCCACATTGATTATTTCCAAATTTGTAAGAATCCAAGTCTAAGTGAGTTAAAAGATTGATTTTTTCAGGGAGCACCCAAACAAAATATAGATAGGGAAGGGCAGTTCGCAATCACAGAGCTCCCTCACTAGTCTGTAACTGGAGAGACAAACACCACCTTATCACTAGCCAGGGGACTACAATGATGTCTTCCCACAGTATATTTATCTCATATGTTTACAGGCATTTCTCCTGGAAGGAAAAGATAGCTACTTCTCCTTTCTCAACAGAATTGTTTACCCAAGACCACCTGTACAAAGCCAGAGAACATAATATAATCCTTGCTTCAGTAGCAGGAACCAGAATCTAACTCCACAAGAACTCCCCTCTCAACTACACAAACTGGAAGTTCAAAAAACATACTTTCCCTGCCAATACAAAATAAATCCTCTCAAACATCTGCAACGAGTTCTCAATTTTTTTTTTTAATATATCTAATTAACATTTCTACTTTTTCCTGAAACAGCTACCCCAGGAAGACACACAAGCCAGAGAAACAACCATGAAGTTTTCCTCTGACAACCTCTTAAAGCAGTTCACATACAGCCCTTTCAAACACTTAAGAGGACAATGATATGGAATAAAGTACTGCATCCCTCCTTACAGTAAATTGAACCTGGTGGTCAATCCTACACTTCTATATAATTCCCTGACAAACTGAAATACAGACATGGATGGATACATGACGAGGACTGTGCCACAGTTACATCATATTCCACGGTATGAAGTTTAGCGTTTAGCCTCTGTTGTCTGATCACATTTACTGTGCTATATGCAGCCGTACTCAGTGGTGGAGGGATCTGCTAGATAGAATAAAGCCTTAACACTGACCTGGAGAGAGCAGCACATGTACTATGAGACATCAAGTGTTTGGTTTTGTTTGCTTTTTTTATTTATTTCTTCACATCAGTAAACTATCAACACTATTGTGCAGCCTGTTCTTTTCAGAGATATCTTTAGTCTGGGAAGTGGTTTGTCTGGTAAACTTTGGCCTTGCCTACATAAATCAAGAATAGGGAGTTCTGTTTAACCAAAATTTAAGATTTATTTTTGTCCTGGGGAGTTCTTGTGTGCTTTACTGATTACTGTTGTAATCTCTCCTAGCATCTGGGTGTCAGTATTTATGTTATAGGCCTGGTAAAGCATTGCTAAGAAATGGAGTTTTGATGCAATTGATGTTACAAGA